AACATGGCTGAGCCAGTTGAGAGCCCGAGCTCTGAAGGCGCCTGATATACTGTATACTGTACAAAAAAATAAGAAGATATATACTGTACATTTATCTCAAAGGAAGTATTATATAACATTTAGTATCATCTGGAATCGTACACATAACATGGTGGTAGTAAGAACATATCAAAATATTACCACGGTTATAACTTAGTTGTTTATTTTATATATTTATATTTTTACATTTACTGTGTATTAGAATATTTACATATTTTACCGTGGAGTTGATATCTGAGTTGTATTAAGCTGGAACAAGAGGACAGAAGCTGTCAGTGTCATGATTGTCTTGTCGACAAATATGATAATTGCAATGGTAATTTCTATCTATCTCCATGACAATTTTAATATGATATAGTGGTTTTGCTGGCAACTGCACAATAAAGGTAGGAATATAAAGTAGGTATTACAAAAATATTAATACTTCGACAAGAAATATTTTTTTGAGATGATTTAAAGGAAGGGAGCGTAGTCTTTGCTCGGATGGGTGGGGGTTATTTCACGCCATATTTTATGGAGGTCTGTGACTGAGAATTTGAATTTTGCCTCTTACAGCAGCTAGTTTATTGTGGAGCGGTAGCGCAAAAGGATTACAGTGTATGGTTTAAAAAGGGTCAGAATAATTAACGCCCGTGGTCAGGATATTATGGCAATGAATGCTACACAGTATTTCAAATACATTATTTGTTTAGTTCTATGTATAAAGGGTAACTTATTCACAACTGCGTGAGTACAGGAGTGTGAGGCAGTGTGTCTGGCCTCACACTTTGTTATTCACATTTGAGTAAGAGGTATTCAAGCACTTAGTGTATTTGGTTCTATACATGGGAACTGATATAGCTATTAAGTGCAAAAAAATGGATACAATCTTAATATGTCGGCTAACTTGGCATTAGAGATGAAGTGTTGTGCCGTTTCACACAGTGTTCTTGGACCTGTCCCTAAAAGGTTCTATCCTCATACAGTGGAAGACGTAGTGTTCAAGTGTGTGGCCTTATGTCCGGCCACACACTTTACATTCAGTCTTCTTCACATTTGCTTGAGGAACATACTGCCAGAGGTACTTATATCCTAATCTTAGACTAGCGGTTACAACATCTTGTAATCTAGTGACCTTGCTCCACATAATGTTTCACTTGATACATCTCATCATGGTAAATTATAGATCGACTAGTGCCTGTTTGTACTAGTCTACTTGCGTCAAATTCATCAATAAGTTCCTTCTTAATTTCAGTTTTAAGGGTTATTTTTGACAGACCCAGATTGTATTTAACAGTGTCTTTGTTAGACACGAGTTTGGCGAGGACATCAACTCTGTCATGTTCTTTGAGGCCTATGTGAGAGGGGATCCACAACAGTTTGATCTTGACACCCCGGTCAACAAGGTACGCATATTTGTGTCTGGCTTCAGAGACAAGAGCGTGACAACTTGAGTTGAGGGTGTCATGTGCAAGTAGTGAGAATAGAGTGTCAGTGATGATAAGACTGTCTGTGACAGTGGTTTCAGTGAATTTGATGGCTGTGAGTATAGCAACTAATTCAGTTTGTAGAGTGGATGCCCAGTTGTTAATTCTAACTCCTTTCTAGTTGTATTACCGTCAGGTTGAGTCACAACAATAGCACTTCCAGCCCTCCCACGGGCTGTGTTAAGAGATCCATCAGTGTAGATGGTCTGTGTGATATTATCATCAGTCTGTAGAGTGTGTATGTGTACAAGAGCTCTCACATTGGCAGTGAGTTGGAGATAAATACCTTGTATAATTATTTTTTTAGGCGGATATGTTGGTAGTATTGTGATATCGAAGGGAACTGTCTGCCAGGGTGGAAGGAAGTGCTGTTGTGTCTCAACTTTGTACAGGTGGTCTAGTCCAAACAGCTTCATGTGTGTAGCTGTAGAGTTTGGATCCATTTAGATTCACCAGTCCCATGGTTCATACATTCTAGCAATTTTAAGGAAACAATGTTATCAGGATCACCATGCAGAAGCCTCAGGGCTATCATGAGTTTGACTTCAATTATTCTATCTTTGACATGGGGTATACCTAGTTCTTTCCTCATATTAAGTACTTTAGTACCCATGGGACATCCTAGGATAATTCTGAGGACTTTATTTTTCATTTTCTTCAAGCATGTTAATGCCTTTCCCGTCACAAAGGACCAGCTCTTGGTACGTGGTAATCTATTAGAGATCTTATATATCCTCGGTACATTGTTTTAACAATTCTAATATTAGCACTACAGTATAATGTGGGCTGTACCCCGCCTCACTTCTAAGAGGTTTCAGTCTGTCAGTACATTGGCGGGTTAGCTGTTGTATGGCAGGTAAAGTACAAGGAATGGAACCACCAAGATATTTAAAAGAATAAACATGGTCAATAGTGTTGTTACCCATCTTCAACTTGGCGGGGCCGCATTTGCATTTGCCAGCATGTTTGTTGAACACCTTAGTTTTCTCAGTGGAGATAATAAGACCGAGGTTCTCACAGGCTGCGTATACATGGTTCAGGGTGGTTTGCATTTCACGATGAGCTTTAGTATGTTTAAGAATATCATCAGCATTGCTGATTGTGATATTGCTGGGGGTTGTCTGGTATTAAATTTCATAATGCATTCATAAGAACATTGAACAAAGTGGGGCTAAGTACTCCACCTTGAGGGGAACCAAGTTGTATATCTTTAACTTCACTTTTGTAACCCTGAAGCAGTGCAGCAGCTCTTCTGTTGGTTAGGTAACCACTTATCCAGTGTAACAGCCTACCTCCTATATCCATTTTGGCTAGTTCGTACAATATCAGTTGCCTATTGGCAATATCAAATGCAGCTTTTAGGTCAAGAAATGTGGTGTACCTGTGCCTTTCATCATCATGCACAGTTAGGAATGTGGTGATGCAATTATGTACACCTTTACCATGGGTGAAACCATTTATGTTAGGAGACATGTGTTCTCTGATTCTATATAAGAATCTCCCAAGAACCATCCTCTCAAAGGTTTTACATAAGCAGCTGGTTAGTGATATGGGACGAAAAGCATCAGGCTGTCCTGGTTTCGGTATTGGTACAACAATACTGCTGGTCCATGATGTGGGTAGTTGGCCCTCGGCATGACTCATATTGTACAATGCCAATAATGGATTGCCCGGCACACGTCTTAGTAGTCTTAATGATGGTGGAGGTGACTCCGTCCTCTCCAGGGGAAGTAGACCTACCCCTGGCGAGGGCGGCGTCAAGCTCCCACTAATCGTGCTGTTTGCCCAGCATAAAGTTAATAAGATTACTTCTCTCTACAGACTTCGCATCAAGGAGTCCTCGAGCCCTAGTTGGTAGCATGTCATAGCTAGAGATATGGACCCATTTTGTTATTAGCTTATTCGACTTTTGCAAAGGGTTTGGATGGGAGACGTGTCTACTGTTTTTACCTCTGATTGTGTTTGTCTTTCCAGACTTTGCTGAGGAATGACTGAGAGGAGAGCATGGGGGTTGATCTTAGTAGCTCTGGGTTTCTTAAGTTTTATCTCTGATTATTCCATAACTGGAAGTAATTATTGTCAATCAAGTGTGTAATGAAAATAGATGAGGTACAATTTTACTTCAGCGGTGTTATAGACTTTTGTTCCACCATCTGACTTTGAGGAAACCATTTATACTGGGCAAACTATAGGTTCATTTTAACTTTACACCTTATTGTACACCGTTAAATGATAGAAACATGAGAAAATACACTGTACGTATTACAGTAAAACCAGAGGAAGGGTACAGTACAGTATATTCAACTGGAGGCCTTGTTCAACATTTAATTTGCTAAGCAATTCAAAGTTTAAGGTTGTTAATGAAATGATAAGTAAGCCACTGCCTCTACATGATCTACACACTTTTGCAAATGAGAAATCAAAGTTGAATTATGTCAAATTTTAGCAGCAAAGGACTAAAGGCGTTTATTGTAGGTGCATGGATTAGCTAATGCGTTAGCTATTCTGTCTGCACAGACACTTTTGTTGAGTTCTGCGCATGACACCTTGAGAGGGAAAAGCAAACACCTTGATGAGGCGTTAGCGTGTGTGGCTCCCGAATAGCTAACAACCAATCAGCAAATTTCTCCAGTGGGTAAATACGCACATCGTGGCTGCTTATGGAGAATATTTTAATTAATATTGAAGAGTTGGGGGCATGTAAGGCGAGAAAAAACTGTGATATAATAATAAAAATAATTCTATATACGGTAGTATATTGGATAGGACCTAAAACAAAGCTTATGGCTCCGCCCTTTTATAAGTGGTTGTTGTCAGTTTTCATTAGCCGTTGGTGATTGAAACCTTAATAACATTACCCATAAGATACTTTAAATAAGGGTGAACATGTTGATTACAGTTCTGTAAGTGCAAAAATTAAGACAAACGAACCTGACATTAGTTGTATTTCATGTATAAATATGGGAACACCTAGCTGCGAGTGACAACATACGTAGTGGAGTAGCTGCTCTGGTTGTTTTGTGAGGTTTCAGAGTCCGGGAGAAATTACCTTTACAACTGGCCCAATTTTTTTGTGTTATTTTTATTTATTGTTGAATGATTGACTTTTTTTTTTCCTTTTTTGTCTTTTTTTCCCATAATTTTCTATTTACAGTATTTTCTTCACTATTTATTTACGTATTGTGTCCAAATAACAGTTCTCCTAATTTTATTGTTTTCTGAAGACTGTGTTGTACAACAGTTATTCCCAAGACACGGTACAATGTCATATTTTTTAATGACAGTCCAGGGAAAGCTAGTGCGTTAGCTATTCCTTGCATCTTAAAATGCCTTAATATTCAACAGTACCTGTACAGTATTTGTGTACATCTCTTTAATTTTTCTTGTCATATGTGTATCTTTTTTAACACTTTGAGTGAGTCTAATTTATTTAGTACAAGAATTTAGGTAATTGTGTTTCATCATTCAATATTAATATTCTATAAATAATTACAGATGCGACAAAGGGAGAGTGAAGTGGCAACGGGTGGGGAGGATAGCCGGCCACTGAGTGATGCATCCTCGTGTTGTGACCCCTCTGATGCAGCTGTCAAGTTCCGTGAGAAGGCAAGAACTCAGGTTAGTTCCTAGAATAGGATTTGATCTCTAGGTAGAGGTATTGTGTAATGCTTTTAGAAGTTAAATGAAAACAAAAATAATATCATGACTTAACAACTTCAGTGACATATGCCTTGTACAGCCAGACTATGGATTACCTTACTTTTACCCCTTCAGTGTTGAACAATATGACAATCCAGCGTAAATTTTTCTAGAAAATTCTCGCATCTGGTAGCCCTTCTTTCCTTATATGGAAATATGTGGAGCTAGCAGTGCCAATATTCCTGTCACTTATCATAATTTAATATCCTTTTATATATAATCCTAAAATTGTCAAGTTTATTGTAATTTGAAGAATGCAAATTAAATGTAAACAAGTAATACCTGTAACATATCCATTTAAGCCAACTTTTAAAAGTGGAATTTGCCCTATTTGGATGTGATCTCATTATACAGTACTGTATGTCTCAAAATGTCATCCAATTATTATAAAAAAAACCATAAGGGAAATGACATCACAACCACAACTTAGGCGAAAGCACACTGGGTGCTTTTCCTCCCAACCGTGCTGGGCCAACATGATCCAGCCATCAAGACAAAGAGACGTGTTTATCACACTGGGATGTTTTGATGGTGCATTTGGGGAAACCATTGTAAAGTTTGTTTACAAGTGACAGTAGCTGGCTTGTCAAAGGAGACCCTGAATAATGATTTAATAATACTAAAGAAGTTTTAAAGCGACGAATAAATAGAAACAGGTCATAGTTTTATGTGATATTTTAAATTATTATTGTTTCATGATGAATTTAAATTTTTGCTTAAGTATTCAACACTCAACACCTAATCTGGAGCTCATTTGAGCACTTATCCAGCCAGCAAAGCTCACCGCCAAACCATTGTCCATTTCTTGTAACAGGTGAAATCCTGCTGCTTGCTGGGCCTTTAGCCCAGTGGCCAGCAAAAACGGCCAACATGTTGGCAAGAAAGTGCCCAGTGTGCCACCGCCTTTACCAACCCTATTGGGATGGCAAGAGAGAGAGTTTTTTTTTAAATCCATTGCACCTAGCAGTAAAAGTAATTTATGATCTGACTGTGCCTGTGCATTGTATTGTATGGGGAGAGTAATTAATTACTTAATGCAATCAAACAGTTAATTGAAGTTGCTATTGGATTTATTTGTTTTATTTGTTCCTTAGTACTAAAACTTAAAGTTGTGCATCCTAGTGCTGTATCTTTAATTAGTACAGAACTGTAGTTTTTTCTATCAAGTTTCCTGCAAGCAGTTTCGGTCAATTTATGATAGTAGCCAAGTTTTGATTTTTTCCCCCCAAATAAGTTTTCCAATGGTTCTTTTTGTGATTCAAACGAATCTGACCTTTGTTTCTGGTGCTAACCGCCCTAACCTAACCAAAACCTGGCTACTATCCTAAATCACCAGTCACGGGTAAAGTTATGAGAGTAGCCAGGTTTTGATTTTCCATAAAAAATACCTTTTTCCTTTGGTTCTTGTTGTGATTCGAACGAATCTGACCTTCATTTCTGGTGCTAACCGCCCTAGCCTAACCTAACCAGTAAACTTCTTCACTTCTCCTTTCGTGACTTATGACATAAAATTATCTCCTTGTTCTACTACATTCCGTTACAGTACTATACACTTTCATGCACTGAACAAACTTAATTTCTCCTATGCTGTTTCTCTTATCTTTCTGTAAAGTTCTTTGCCAAATCACAGCTTCAAAGATCCCTGGACACACATTTTAAGAGATTGGAAAGTCCTGTAACAAGATTTTTAGCTCAGCCACAAGAAAACTAGAAGAATTTCTACTGTATCCTCAGTACTGTATCATAATTGTCATTCTGTGTATCTTCATTTTAAGTTAGACAGATCATAACTTTTTATAAATCCTGAGTGGTGGTGAGTAACCCTTGTCTTCAAATTCTACACCTCCCTTTATCTTTACCTTCATTTGATACATGTTTCCTATTTTGCTTTTGTTACTTTCATGTGCCACAGTATTGTCCTAGCTCCTTATTATTGTAGAAGATTCCCAAAGAGATATGCTTGAGCACCTCATATTCATTCAATTTTATATTTCTCTATCTATATTTCTGTTCATTTTTTTACAGCAACGCCCTTTGACGAGATATTTGCCAGTGCGTAGTGAACAGCATTTTGATCTCAAACAACACATAGAGTCTGCTGGTCATCAAATTGAACTCTGTCCATACATAATTGTTTCTTCAACGGCTTGCCGAGGTTATCTTCACAAATTAGGCTCAAAGTTCCGCACATGGCAGAAGAGATGGTTCGTGTTTGATCGATCAAAAAGAGCACTAATGTATTACAGTGATAAGAGTGAGAGCAAGCCAAGGGGTGGAGTATACTTTCAAGTAAGTAACATTTTATATACCGTATACATATATATATATATATATATATATATATATATATATATATATATATATATATATATATATATATATATATATATATATATATATATATATATATATATATATATATATATATATATATATATATATATATATATATACTGTATATATATATATATATATATATATATATATATATATATATATATACATATATATATATATATATATACATATATATATATATATATATATATATATATATATATATATGAGTATATGTATATATATATATATATATATATATATATATATATATATATATATATATATATATATATATATATATATATATATATATATATATATATATATATATATATATATATATATATATATATATATATATATATATGCATGCAAGCAAATCACTGTGGGTAATAGTGACCCTACTAATCTTCAAAAAGGACCTCAGCAGTCGGTAGTCAGAGGGTAAGATGACCCAACCAGGTGAGAAGATTGGGTCATCTTACCCTCTGACCTGACTACCGACTGCTGCCGTGCTTTTTGAAGATTAGTAGGGTCACTACCTAATGCCTGACCATTGTGGACTTGATCTCACCCTCCCCTGTATATATATATATATATTGATTGATTGTTATGTATTTCTCCTTAGTCTGTACTCACCCCTGAAGATGTGAATTACACGAAAGCGCTTGGGAACTTCGTGTTTTCTTTTTTCCTTGTGGTTATCAGCATATACCTGTATATTGTTTTACATTATTGTATGTTTAATCAACTTACCCCTTTGAGGCATATTATATTATGTGTTTGTATGTGATTTGTGTACAGTACTTTTTTATATACCGGTATACTGTAACAGAAATTTGCAATTGAAACCTGGTTAGATTAGAGTTAGGTTTGGTTGGGTTAGGGTGGTTAGGTTATGTTTTTATGAACTGTACATGTACTCCAAAGGCATTAATTACTAGAACAAAAATTGGTGAACAAATGCAGATTTATTTCAAGATTTCCTGAATGGTCTAACTTGTTCTGAGTTATACATATTACTGTACAGTACAGCCTGCATTGAAACTACCTGTAGTAGAAAGACTGAAAACAACAAAGAAACTTGTATAATTGGATGCATAGGAATTGTTATACAGGTTGTACCTCTCTGGTCCGGCAACCTCAGGACCTGACCGGTGCCGGACCATGGAAATTCACCCTTTTCCTGGATAGATAGAGATTTGTACTTATGCTTGGAAGCACTAGCACCACTTTCTCTGCTTCATGGTCTCTTTGAAGACATATTGAAGGGTTAAATGTCGTACAGTAGCTTCTCAAATTTCGAGAGTTTTTAATTCAACATTTTTTATTTGAACACACAAAAAACAAAACAATTTAAAATTTTGACAGCGGAAACTCGAATTTCGACGTGTTTGAGCAGCCCACCAACGTTCAGACGACGTGCACAATCTTGTAAACAGCATCATTTCTCTTATGTACAAAAGATTCATTATTGTTTATTACTGAATGTCTTTTTGATTGAATTAATGTTTGTGTGCAAAATGGGCAATACAATTCATTAATAATACGTAGAATATTAAAACACACAAGGAAATGACACAGCATTGTTTTCGTTGATTACAAAACCAGTGACTGACTGGTTCTACATACAAAACTGAAGAAAATAAGACCCTGGTTGTAGCTGTAGTAAAATTAATATGTTTTTTTTTTTAGTAATGTTATTTAATGTTAATAAATGGAACAATAGAAGTAGCTAACGATAATGGCAAAGAAATAAAGAGAGATCGCGTATGTAAGTGCGCACATGTGAAAACATATCGTCATTACTCTATATAAGAATATGAAAGCAACACTAATTTACTGTTCATATATATTTTAATTAATGTTTCTGAATTTTTTTGATTGAATTAATGTTTGTGTGTGCAAAATGAACAATACAATTCATTAATAATACGTGGAATATTAACACGAGGAGACGAGACGGCTGCCGGCATTGTTTTCGTTAATGCTTACAAAACCAGTGATTGATTGGTTCTACATATAAAACTGAAGAAAATAAGACCCTGATTGTAGCTGTACTAAAATTAATGTAAAAAATGAATATGCTTGTTTAAAGTAAAGTTATTTAATGTAATAAATGGAAAAATATAAGTAGCTAACCATTAATGGTAAAGAAAAAAAAGTGAGACTGCGCGTATGTAAGTGCGCATATGTGAAAACATATCGTCATTACTCAACATAAAAATATGAAAGCAACACTTATTTACTGCTCATATATATTGAAGGGTTAAATGTTGTACTCTGTATAGACAAGGAGAGAGAGAGAGAGAGAGAGAGAGCTCTCTCTGCCGGATGTAAACAAACCTTAATTTCCCGCAGCTTTTTTTTTTTTTTTAATGGGGATTAGCCCACCCGGGCATAGGTCGCTGACCCTCATTGGGGCCTGAGGGGCAAAAATTTAATACTCCCGTAAT